AATGTTGTATGACTGTGTAAGAAAATTTAGTTTGCACACCACAGATTACAAATTGTAATTTTATGTCCACTTTATAGCCCTTTGTGACCCTTATTTATAAAATTTTCCAATACAATCTCTTTAAAATTATAATCTTTGAGAGGGATTTAGTAACTGGATAGATGAAAGATGAAATGGGGTTTAACGTCCTACTGTTCTGCTCCTAAACTGGGCTAATGAAGACGGGCATACGGGAATTCCAACTGCCAAGGGATCTTTTACGTGCACGCCAATGTGTACACAAGACCTCGGTTTTTCGTCCCATCCGAACGAATAGACAGCTGTCCTTGTCAGGCCCTCCGTCCTGCATCACTGACAAGGGGAAACCACGCCGGAAAATCTGGATGAACTTTCTCGTCCAATGCAGGGATCGAACACCTGACCTCCAGGCTAACGAGCCAGCGTCTTACTCACTTAGCCACGTGATCCCCTAACTGGATAGAGCAATAAACTATAACATATACTTATGGAAAAACAGCTACTTATTTATTAGCTTGATAACGTTGAGAGAATACTCTTCGAAATGTCGCCCAAATAAATAAGTAAGTGGACGTAAAATTACAATTTATAATCTGTGGTGTGCAGACTAAAGATTTAAAGTTTATTGCTATTTAAACTTGTGTGTCTCTTTCAGAACATATATTTCCTTATTGTTTATGATTATTATTTCTGTTCATATTTACTTGGGGTATTTTAGGCTCATTTTTCTACGAGATATCGAAAGTAAAAATAAACACAAATTTTGATAAATCAAAATCGTGTGATTTGTACAAGGTGGAACTGTGATATCCATTTTGCAATATGTGATGTATTTAATTACCTGAAGAATGTAACAAAGAAATGAATGAGGTCTATTTTAGGAAACTGTGAAAATGATATCTGGAAAGATAAATATATTTAAATTACATTTTATAATACGAATAAATATATTTGATTTCACAAAAACAGAAATGTAGATCACATAAAATGTAATTCTCTGTAAGATCTACTCATTCTCTCTGATTCGCTGTCTGATCTTGTAGAAAGAGAAATGTTTCAGCTATAACTAATTTTTATAACTATTTTCTAACAATAACATTTATAGAACCATTGAGAAATCCATTTATGGGGTCAATATGGCCGACAAGCCAAACTTGAAGCTTCTCATATTTTCTGTTAATATGGCCAACATTTAGCACATAATATAATACATCACCCTATTCATTATAATAGATCACTGCGGCTCCTGAAGCTAAAGATAGAAATAGGGTCAGTAAACCTGGTGACCCTAGTGAGTGATCAGGTTGTTAGGTATAAATGAAGTTAAAGATCAACCTACCACAAGCCAGAACGGTGTTTTATAACCATACACATAGACTAGAAACGTGGTATTTTCTTCACCACCAAAATTATAATCTTTATGTTCAAACTTTGTCCTGAATAAATCACACTCGTGTCCTGAAACTACATACTGCTCTTCTGGCTGTGATTCTGAAAATAAAAAAAAATAAAAATAAATTTGATAATCAACACCATTTAACAGGTAAGAAACATGAACAATTTCAAGTCTCGTATAATAACATATGACACAATTATATGGAATACAAGCTACTTGAAAAGTTTATTTCAGCGACGTTTTGACGAGGGTTCACTCGTCTTTATCAAGCAAAGAATGACAACCATAGTGCAATAAAGATATATATATACAAAATAGGGAACAAAGACAATCATCTATATACAATCAGAAATAATCATATGGAAACCATCAAAGGGGTGGGAAGCCATAAGGGGGGGGGGGGGTAAAATGAAGTTTGTACAAAGGAAACATGATAATAAAGACAGCTAGATTGGGCGGTGACTATGCTAGGACAGAACAAACCCACTAAGAGACCATATAGGGAAGAACTATAGAAACTTATTAGTGAGATACCTTCGATCTGATAAGCCACCCAACCCCAACCTTCTAGGTAAAATAGAATGATGTAAACTTACAATATTTATATGACTAGCCACCCCACCCCAACCTTCTAGGTAAAATAGAATGATGTAAACTTACAATATTTATATGACTAGCCACCCCACCCCAATCTTCTAGGTAAAATAGAATGATGTAAACTTACAATATTTATGACTAGCCACCCCACCCCAACCTTCTAGGTAAAATAGAATGATGTAAACTTACTAGATTTATATGACTAGCCACCCCACCCCAATCTTCTAGGTAAAATAGAATGATGTAAACTTACTAGATTTATAGGTTATATTAATAAACGCCAAACCAGAACAATTCAACGTAAAATCTACATCTCGATCATTCTGAAAATATAACAGTCAATATAAATACAAAACTACAAAGAAGACAGTTAACAGCTTCTGTCAGCTGATTTAAAATAAAGCTGTGATGATTGGGAAAAACAAAGAGAATACAAAAATACAAAGAACACAGTCTGATAATTAAGGAGAGAGAAATGGGGTTTAACGTCCACTCGACACAAACTAGGTCATTTCAGGACTAACATATGGTTTAATTTTATTTCAATAATTCGCTTGCGCATAGGGGTCTTTAGCAGTGGGAGGAAACCGGAGGACCCGGAGAAAACCCACAAGGTTGGACAGGCGACCCTACTCCTTGTCACGTACAACCGGGGATTCGAAACCACGCCAGTCGACTCAATGACAGACTTTATGATACAGCGCGCGCACGCTAACCATTCAGCCATCCAACCCCCCGTGACAAGTGGGATCAGGCTTGAAAAAATTCCCTTTGTCCGGACAAGGTTTGAAATACCAATCATGGATATTGTATTATGGCCACCCAAGTACATGTATAACTGTGATACTATGCGACTGAGAAGTTCATTTAATTTACCAAATTTTATTAACACTTCATTGATTTCTCTACTTTCATTCTTTGAAAGTAGTTACTCACAGATCACACACTTTAGCTATTTCTTAGAATTTGGTTATCCTGTTTTCTTATGAGGTCTCAGCAAGGACTGTAGTCCTACATATCTTATTAAGAATGCAGCTATTTTTTTAAACTTCCATCGAATTTTCGACTTTTATTCTTTAAAATTAATCACTCACATATCCCACCCTTTAGTTATTTCTCAGAGAAAGGGAAAGAAATGGGGTTTAATGTCCACTCGAAAAAAAACTAGGTTATTTTGGGACTAACATAAAGTTCAATTTTATTTCAATAATTCACTTGCGCATGTGGTCTTTATTAGTGGGAGGAAACCGGAGAACCCGGAGAAAACCCATGAGGTTTGACAGGCGACCATTCTCCTTGTCACGTACAACCGGGAAATGAAAACCACATCAGTTGACTCAATGACAGACCTTACGATTCAATGCGCACGCGCTAACCATTCTGCCATCCACCCCCACACACCCCCACACACACACTATTTCTTTGAATTGGTCATATTGTTTTCTTACGAGGCTAATGGTCTCAACAAAGACCATAGTCCAATGAATATTATTTTAGTTGTAAACAAAGTAAAATATACTAACGGCAGTAGGAATATTCATAAAGTTAATTTGTGTCAAATATTTATCTTCAGCTTTCGATAAGTTGAATGTAAATTGGTAGTCGGTTACTAGCTGATCTAAAAATAAAACAATCAATACATTAAATATACACAACCAGCAGATCTCTCGTGAAATGGTCAAAAAGATAAAAAAAGAGTTTAAACCATAAAGTGTATTTAATCATATATCCAACTGCAGATCTCAAATAAAATGGTGGAAAAGATAAAAAAACAAATTTAAACCATAAAGTGTATTAAATCAAATTTCCCATCGCAAATCTAAAATGAAATGGTGGTAAAGATAACAAAATTTTAAACCATAAAATGTATTTAAAGTGGCATAAGGGCAGATTTAGATAAAGAGCTGACAGTTCTCGCTATAATAGTTAAAAAATAGATAATGAAACAGGAATATGTTGAAAATTTTCGTAAATTTACTTCAGTCTGAGCCTCCATTGTCACTGTTATGATAATAAACAAAGTCTCGATTATCCATTTTTAAAATTATCTCATCAACCACAAAACATATTCAAATCTACATAATATCGGAGGCATCCAATGGCATTGAGCATTGATTATGGTCTGGATAAGTTAATTAATGTCTAATTAATAATTTAGATAACATTTAAAGCCTAAAGAAAGATCTGCAATAGGCAGATTTAGCTCTTGCATAATGCCTGTTTAAATCAAATTTCCAACTGCAAAATTCCATTTCAAATTAATAACCTACTTACAATAACAAGTTGATGATTTAAATTAATTAAGAATATAATTAATAACTTACAATAACAAGTTCCACCAGATGTAGGATCTCCAACATAACTATGAGTTTTATCACAGCTAAAATACAAAAACATGCATAATACAATACCTTGTTGTAACATATTAATATAAGTAAGGCATCTAGAATAGCAATACATTCCCTACATGGCGGTAACATTATACATGAGGGTCCAGGAAAAATGGGTTTTATCATCCTTCTGTTCTGCACCAAGCAGGCTTATTAAGACGGTTAAAGGGACCATCGCTTATCTGCACACGTAAACCTTTTAACAATTCAGGCCAATTTATTTGTTTTGTGACCTGATAATCTATTGACTTTCCTTTATAGTTCTATACAGTGCATGACCCATGTGCTGTACTTGATAACGAAAGGTAAATTTCCCCACCTACACGTTATTTTTATAAAATAAAAGTCTTGTTTTATCCAGACACCGTATAATACAGCTAGGCACACCGGTCTCCATTTCCAAATGAAGACTGGGGGCTTTAAGTTGTTTGAAAACGCATCACAAATATTGTGTTAGTTACTCGGCCCTAAGGTAGAGGAGTTTAAGGGCTTTTAACACAAAATTAAGTAGTTTAATTCTCCAAAATATAATCGAGATTGGCCCTTTAAGTTAAGAAAGGTTCTTATACTTACGTGTCACATTTATCTCCAGTAACTCCTCTCGTTCTACAGTGACATTTACCTGATTCACGATCACATAAATCAGCCTGCTCATTACATTCACAAACTAGAAATAAAACAAGGACAATAAATCACAAACCACTAGACAATACTGGTTAATAAATCAGATCTCGATGGAGATATTTAACTGAATGTTACAGACGTTATTGATACAAAGAAATATATTTATATTCATTTGTCAATTCTATTTTATAAGAGAGAGAGAGAGAGAGAGAGAAATGGGGTTTAACGTCCACTCGACACAAACTAGGTCATTTTGGGACTAACATATGGTTTAATTTTATTTCAATAATTCACTTGCGCGTAGGGGTCTTTAGCAGTGGGAGGAAACCGGCTGACCCGGAGAAAACCCACGAGGTTGGACAGGCGACCGGGGATTCGAAATCACACCAGATGACTCAATAACTGGCCTTATGATACAGTGCGCTCGTGCTAACCATTCGGCCATCCCCCCCCCCCTCTATTTTATAAAAAAAAAATCTAATACCTGAACAATTTCCTCCATTTCTGGGGTTTCCAAAATAACCAGTTTGACAATATTCACAATGTGGTCCTGGAATTAAAAATCAACAATTATTATATGGCGTAAGTAAAAGACATTGGATCAACATTAACCCTAACTGTAGCATTGGATAGCTACATCTATGTAATGTTGATAATGCAAGTCAGGTTCAAATATAAGGAAGGAGGTAAGCATTGCTCCTTACATCATGGGACTCCAAACTCAGCATTTTTGATACAAGTGTTTCTTTCGGGAAATATCAAGTTTGGTGAATAGCACTCTGATTTAAATCTGTTTTTTGGTATAGGTAGTGTAGAATATAAGAGAATGAGCTTACCGTCAGTTAAAGGAGCTAAATCGCTAACATTTGGGACCTAGAAATTCACAAAAGTGGGTCGCAACGCATATAATACTGTAATATGAATGTATATAAACTGATTTACATTTAATGGTTTCCGTTTTTACTCCAATTTCAAATCAGTTATGTTCGGCGAAATAAGTCAGCAATCTCAATCGAGTGCAAATTTCTAGCATCTAGTTATTCTAGTCTACATAACTCCATTTGATTTGGTGAAATGTGTCTAGCCTCGTCCCTCGAGTCTCTCAATACAACTGGGGCTGAAGCGCATTATGGTACACGATTCGTGTATCAATGTTAAAAAAATTATTTTATCTTAAATATTGGATATCAGAAGCTCATCTTTTCTCGGTAAGTTTACATAATCAATGTTGATTTAAATTGACCGATAATTCGTGTTTTCGATGTGGAAGATTTTGGAGGATTTTGAGTTACGGACTTAGGTCCTTTAAATCTTGACATATGATTATATGTTAGATCTTATATAGGTAGTGTAAAATATAAAGAGTATGAGCTTACCTTCAGTTAAATCTTGACATATGATTATATGTTAGATCTTATAGGTAGTGTAGAATATAAGAGTATGAGCTTACCTTCAGTTAAATCTTGACACATCTCACATATACTGGTGTTCTCATGACAGGTACTATGTCCATTACACTGACAATCTGTTTAAAATTAATAGAAATAACAACATTAGCTTGGGGAAATTCCAATCATAGTTTACAAGTGGTATCAGATGTTCTAAAGAGAGTAAGCATACCCTTACTCATGCCCAGAACCTGTCCAAAAAAATATGTCATGAGAGCTATCTCTACTAAGTAAAAATTCTGTAACCATAAAACGGTAGATATTACTGCCTGTCAGTTAGGACTGGTTAATTAACCTGAATATGAAAACCCTTTTAGGTTACAATTCAAAATATCAAGATTATCAATTTACTATTAATTTTCACTTATTATCAATATCATATATGGCTTCCACATTTTTGCAAATAGTGCATGGTTAAACTTTTCATCAATTTTAATAGATTATCGTTACCATGAATATGGCATCCACAATTTTTCTAAATAGTTATTTGTAAAACTTCCAGTTGATTTAAATAAATTATCGTTACCATGAATACGGCATCAACAATTTTTGTAAAATATACAAACCTGGACATTCTGTAAAATACCATCGTTCAGCTGGACAGAATGAATTGTTGGTCAGGTGACTATTATCAACAGGACCAGTGTCTCCACCTTCCATACATCTTCCGAGTCCAGTATTACTAGGATCGTTACACCATCCACACACAGAATTAGCCTGACATTCACTACACGATCTTAATCCAGAACATCGCGTAGCTGAATAACATATAATATATACATTAATATAATGAGAGGGAGGGAATTAGCCAGACATTCACTACACGATCTTAATCCAGAACATCGCGTAGCTGAATAACATATAATATATACATTAATATAATGAGAGGGAGGGAATTAGCCAGACATTCACTACATGATCTTAATCCAGAACATCGCGTAGCTGAATAACATAAAATATATACATTAATATAATGAGAGGGAGGGAATTAGCCAGACATTCACTACATGATCTTAATCCAGAACATCGCGTAGCTGAATAACATAAAATATATACATTAATATAATGAGAAGGAGAGAGACAGAATTAGCTTGACATTCACTACACGATCTTAATCCAGAACATCGCGTAGCTGAATAACATATAATATATACATTAATATAATGAGAGGGAGGGAATTAGCTTGACATTCACTACACGATCTTAATCCAGAACATCGCGTAGCAGAATAACATAAAATATATACATTAATATAATGAGAAGGAGAGAGACAGAATTAGCTTGACATTCACTACACGATCTTAATCCAGAACATCGAGTAGCTGAATAACATAAAATATATACATTAATATAATGAGAGGGGGAGGGAGACACAGAATTTGCCTGACATTCACTATTAATATAATGAGAGGGAGGGAATTAGCCTGACATTCACTACATGATCTTAATCCAGAACAATTGGGAGAGAGGGAATGGGGTTTAACATCTACTCAACAATAACTACGTCATTTCGAGACTAAAACATTAATATATATACAGTGTTAATGAAAGAGGGAGAGGTGGTAAATACAATTGCTTATTATTTAATTTATTTGAGAATTAACTGGTATATTGGGTTATAACTTGCAGGCGAACATATTCCTGATCACAGACAAGCCTGGGATAGTACCCATAGCAACAAGCCTATGATCTATAGGCCTACACAAATTCTCATTATTTAATTTAATTTAAGAAATAACTTTGAGTTTTCCAGGGTATATAGGGTTTTAATTTTACATACGACCAAGCTTTGGACAGCACCCACAACTTATGTTCTTTATTCAAATTCTCAAGGTTTTTTTTAAGAATTAACTAATGGTTGTTCCTGGTTCACAATTCGGAAAGATAACTCTTATTGGTGTAAAGCTATAAAAATATGACAAACCTGGGCATTTTTCATCTTTCGTTGTCCAGTCTGTACACTGTCCGTAGGGGAATGATACAACATAAGAATTAGTTCCGACACACTGTTTCATATTACTACACCACATACAAGTTTTCCCTGTACAATTTTCACACGTTGTGTACATAGAACACGGCAATTCACACTGTTCAAAATTATCTTTTATATTTCCCATTTTTATATTTTCAATTTTTGAGTCTTCTTTGACCTCATCACCTGGTTAGATAAAAGACATAGGTACAATATGTAAATAACTGATATAAATACATATAGGTACAATAACTGATATAAATTATTTTATGCATGAAAATATAATGAAATAGAAATTGTAGGTTGCTATGTTTATATGGTAAACAAAATTTTTTCTAGATGTATATGCTAATTTACACTTGACACTGTCCTCGCCAGGATCTCCATCCTGCATTACTGACGACAACGGGAAATTGCGCCAGAAAATCACAACAAACTTTCTTGGCCAACATAAGGAGTGAACCAGAGTCCTGGTTAGCAAGCCAAGGTCTTAATGTCCCACTGCTAACAAGTTTTTGTAAAAATGGTAATAACCTTTGGCAGCTATCATCAAATATCAATGAAAATCAAAAGGATAGACATCAAATATATGAAATGAAATGGGTTTAACGTCCTACTGTTCTGCTCCTAAACTGGGCTAAGGAAGACGGGCATATGCCATACAGTGTGCTATGAGGGAAATTTTTGCCCGGGGCAACGGCACTACGGCCTACTCAGATTGAATTCCAACTGCCAAGGGATCTTTTACGTGCACGCCAATGTGTTCACAGGACCTCAGATTTTCGTTCCATCCGCACGACTAGACAGCTGTCCTTGTCAGGCCCTCCGTACTGAATATCACTCACAGTATTCGACATGACATTGTCAGCACATCTTACCGTGAAAAGATGGGCTTCTGATATCCAATATTTAAGACAAAATGAATATTTTTAAATTGGCACATGAATTGCTTGCCAGAATGCTTTCGAGCGCCATTTGTAATGAAACAACTCGATGAAAGAGGCTAAAGATAACCCACAGGAGAATAATACCAGAGTAGACTGGAATAAAATAACTGATTTGAAATTACAGTAAAAAGAGAAATGCCTGAATGTAAATCAGTTTATATATATTCATATTACATTACTATATGCGTTGCAACCCATTTGTGTCCATTTCTAGGTGCCAGAGAATAGGGATTTAGCTGCTTTAAGTCCAATTGAAACAAAGGAATGACTAACCTTCAATACTGATCGTTTTAATTTTGTCCATACATTTATTTGTCCATCGACATTGGTCTTGTTTAATACAGGAATAACAATTATGTTGGAGATCACAAGCACTATCAGAATGTGATTGTGAACAATTTCCTGGAGGGTTCTGGAATAGAAACAAAAATAAAAACATATTAAATAAAATGTTTTGAACTTTTATTCTCGAAATTTTTTCATTGTCTTATCTTTATCAAGCCTATTCAACAAAAATAACTAAATGAAATGGGGTTTAACATCCTACTGTTCTGTTCCAACTGGACTAATGAAGATGGGCATATGCGATACGGAGTGCTATGAGCTAATTTTGCCTGGGCAGCGGCAGTATGGCCTACTCTTATAGAGAATTCCAACTGCCAAGGGAACGTTTACGTGCACGCCAATGTATACATTGGACTTCGTTTTTTCGCCCCAACCGAACGACTAGACAGCTGTCCGGGCAAAATTTCCCTCATAGCACACTGTATGGCGTATGCCCGTCTTCATAAGCCCAGTTAAGGAGCAGAACAGTAGGACTTTAAACCCCATTTCATTTCATTTCATATGTAAGGACTATACGAATGATTAAAGGGACATAATGCTCATATATTTTGATTAATATAATAATATACATACATTATCTTCTGTTGAACAGTTTTTATAAAAACAGCCATTGTTACACCATTTACAATCATAACTTGTATTATTACAAGTCGTACATGATGTATAACTTTTACATATCTTCTCACCACCTGCAAATATAAAACAAATCGTCGGTGGGGAGTCAAAAGGTCGTATCTGGCATATTTTGCGAAATTCACTTTTTTGCTTCTTCAGAATGAAGATTTTCTTGCGCATCTTTTCATCTAGTTGTCGTATTTCTATAAAAAGAGGTTTTATAGATATTGTTTCAAAATGTCGTATATGGGGTGTTCCAAAAAAAAAAAAAAATATTAAGAGTCAAAATGTCGTATTTTTTAAAAGAAATCAACTTTGTGTCTAACCAAAGTATTACAATCAAACGAAATGTAGCCAGTATTGTTTTATAGTTAAATATGGCTACACATACACTTTGTACGGAAATATTTTAGAAAAGCTTCAGAAATACGACATTTTACATACGACATTTTGACGTGACGGTTTTATTAGACATTTTGATTCTTAACCTCTGTGTGTTTTTTGGCTCTCCTGGACAATTTCGCAAAATCCAGATACAACCTTTTGACTCCCCACCAACGAAATATAATTAGGTTTAACCCAAAAGTTGGTTTATAACAGGGTTCACCAATCTTTTTTTCAGATAAAAATGAAAAAATGCCTAGTGTGGGCCGAACAAATATTTTGTTCAATACAATACACTGAATACAGAATACACTGGATGTACACAAATATAAGCATAATCATTTTATATATTTATCTATATATATATTTGTGACTGTCGTTTGTCTGTTTGTCTGTCTGTCTGTCTGTTCGGGGTTGGCGGCTACACTAGGTCTGCCCCGAGTCTGAAATTTGGGGTATAGGGTTAGCTCGGACCGGGGAGTAACATAGGCCAGGTGGCGTTAGTCTACCACTTCCGGAGTTATGACCCCCGAGCGAAGCCGGTCTGTTCGGGGTTGGCGGCTACACTAGGTCTGCCCCGAGTCTGAAATTTGGGGTATAGGGGTAGCTCGGACCGGGGAGTAACATAGACCAGGAGGCGTTGGTCTACCACTTCCGGTTTTGGAGTTATGACCCCCGAGCAAAGCCGGGTATCCTGCTAGTAAATACATAAAATACACAAAATAATAAAAACAATAAAATATTTTAATCTGTCATCCAGTTAAAACCTTTATATAAAGTTTTTTTGTGTTTTTTTTCAGTATGCAATGGCGGACAAACTGACAGCGCAGGCCGGATCTGACTCGCGAGCCATAGTTTGGTGACCCCCGGTTTCTAATAGAACATCACCAGGGAAATGACGTTAAAGTTCAGTCTATCTTTCAATCTGAACAACAGTTTAGAGGCGTAATTAATTAGTGTCAAGTTAATAAATATAGATATAGGTTGGTTGCATACCTTAATTTAAACAATAATCAAGTGTATAAAAATACACCAGATGCCAATTCTTTATTTAAATCAGACACACGGTTAAAAGATTTGTGTAAATTACATAAACATTGATATGTTTATAAATGATAAAACGTCGAATTGGGGGACTTTTCAATAACCACACATCAGTAACACATTAATGACAAAATGTGCCGGATGTGTGGCCTATTATAAATATCAGTAACACATTTGTTCGATAGTGGTTTGTTTACATTCTGTCAAGAAAATTCATAATTCCACACCTTAAGTTAGCCACAGAAAAGATTTGGAAAGATTAGCCTACCTTTAGAAGGATCACAATTTGGTATGTATACATTTTTAAGATGAGATCGCGTAGCACAACGTCCCTGAAACCAGACACACTTTGTTCCTGGAAATGATCGCAAACACTCGTCTTTGTCGTTTATAGCTAGACATTTTCCTGGTAGAAAACAAAAACCAAAACAACCAATAAATGTAAATAAATAAATGATTAATGGCTAATATTATATATAGATTTAACAACAGCCTCTTCATATCTATATGTTATAAATGTCAGACTATTACAATGAAATTAAAGGAGAAATGAAATGGGGTTTAAAGTCCTACATTTCAGCACCAATCGGGCTGAGGTATATATATAGAGAGAGAAATGGGGTTTAACGTCCACTCGACACAAACTAGGTCATTTCGGGACTAAAATATGGTTCAATTTTATTTCAATAATTCACTTGCGCATAGGGGGCTTTTAGCAGTGGGAGGGAAACCGGAGGACCCGGAGAAAACCCACGAGCTTGGACAGGCGACCCTACTCCTTGTCACGTATGACCAGGGATTCGAAACCACTCGACACAAACTACATCATTTCGGGGCTAACATATGGTTTACTTTTATTTCAATAATTAACTTGCGAGTAAGGGTCTTTAGCAGTGGGAGGAAACTGGAGGACACAGAGAAACCCACGAGGTTGGAAAAGCCACTAGAGATAAGAGGTAGAATTTGGGTAGAACTAGCAAGTGCCCTAAAAGTATAAATAGTAAAATTTTGCTGTAATATTATAGCAACTGATGAACTAATCAATTTACCTGGCGAAAACTTGATGAGATCTTTTAACATACGCCCATTAAAACCTCCATACATATATACAAAACTGAAAAATAACAGGTAATTATTATTATAACCTCCATACACATATAAACCACACTGGATTATAACACCATATTATTATAACCTCCGTACACATAAATACCACACTGGATTATAATACCATATTATTATAACCTCCATACACATAAATACCACACCGGGTTATAACAACACATTATTATAACCTCCATACATAAAACCATATTATTATAACCTCCTACTAAGTATTCTAGTACAATTTTATAAGTAAATTACTAATCGCCATTCAAAGATTATAAGAATTTGATACTAACCCTTGGTGTTGTACCATGCTCTGTCCATATCGTGCAATATTCTGAGATAAGTTGGGATGAGGTAGAAAATGCCATGAGTTACATTCTGAAAACAGAAAAAATCAAATGGTTTAGTGGAAACAGTCAGGTATTGGAAGAACAGACAGTAACAGAACTTTACACAATGAAATGTGAAACCATCTACAATTATAGCCTACCTTTAAATATGCATTATGTAATATTTAGACAAAGAACTGGTTGTTCAAAAATAGATAATGAAAGATTAATATATAGAGCAAAGTTATGATAAGTCTTAGAGTTAGCTTAAATAATATTGAATGATAAGTACCATTGCTACGATACACATTCTCGATTATCCATTTTAATGTTAATTTATTCAACGGTGTGGGTCTTTTAATCTATTAGACATATTGGCCATCCTATGATCTAGTCGTGTGAATACATAATTTATTTAAAGCCAGTAAATAGATCGGCAATAGGCAGATTCAGCTCTTACATAATGCATCTTTAACCATGAGCCCACTAACATCACCTATTGTTGGGATGTCCGACTTTCCGGGTCAACCCTTCTAACTGCATGATGTACGAGAATAAATTAAAATATATCCGAAATTATCACAGTATTTTAAGGAATGCTGACTTTCCTTGCATCTAATAGGCTTCTAGGAGAAACAACTGTTTATTAAGCTACATATATTTTTCGTATGAGAGAGAGAGAGAGAGAGAGAGAGAGAGAGAGAGAGAGAGAGAAGGTCATTTCGGGACAAATATATGGTTCAATTTTCATTTCAATAATTCGCTTGCACATAGGGGTCTTTAGCAGTGGGAGGAAACCGAAGGACTTTGAGAAAACCCACAAGGTTGGACAAGCGACCCTACTCCTTGTCACATACAACCATGGAATCGAAACCACCCCCTAACCATTCGGCCATCCAACCCAATCTGAATTAAAGAAAATTGTCTCACCTATATCATAAGCCATGAAATCTGTAGAATAACATTTAGCACCTTTACTGACAGATGTATCATTGTGAGTATTACCACCAAATATTAAAATTATCCCATCTAATACCACGGCTGAATGAAGATATCGAGGTGATCCACTACTCCGTAAAACAGTCCTAAAAATAATCAAACATATACATAGACTGCTATATCACTTTTTACAACAAGTGCTAAAGATCGCTTGCCAGACAACAAAACAAATTCAGAATTTGTTTAGAAGTTGTCACCATTTTATTTAACATTTTGAAGTTTTGAAACAAATTTCTCCAGAATCCCTGTACGTACAAAAAATCTCAAAACCTCGGACTTTCAATGCAAAACTTTAATGACAAGGGCAATAACTCTACCAACATTTGAAATGCAGCTTGCACTGTCAATAGAGTCATTAAAAGAATTTGTAACAAAGGGGTATAAGTGTTAAAGACAGCGCAATACAGAGATAGAGAAATGGGGTTTAACATCCACTTGACACAAACTAGGTCATTTTGGGACTAACACATGGTTCAATTTTATTTCAATAATTCGCTTGTGCGCAGGGGTCTTTAGCAGTGTGAGGAAACCGGCGGACCCAGAGTAAACACATTAGGTTGTACAGGCAACCCTACTCCTTGTCATGTACAAGCGGGGATTCGAAACCATGCCAGTTGACTCAATGACAGGCCTCATGATACACACGCTAACCATTCAGCCACCCAACCCCCCCAGCACAATAAAAAGTGAATTTATGAAGACTGGTATACAGCATGCAGCAGTGTGCTAGATCCACTCACAATAACTTTTTGTACATTAAACCTAAGCTTTCTGTCCCATTCGAACAATTTAACTGCGTGAAAACTGATGTACTCACCATGTTTTAGTTCGAACATTATACATATATAATTTATCTGTTAAATTATAACCCGACTGGGTATCGGAATGATATCCACCATAAACATATATACAAGTAGCTCCACTACTATCAACATGTATAACACTGCTGTGGCTGTATCCTCCATGTACTATAGCACCATTTGTTATTGGTACTGACCATTTATCATTAGCTACAAAAATACAATTAATACCATTAATATAATTAACTGGAATTTAACGTCCTACTGTTCTGCTCCGACTGGGCTAATGAAGACGGGAATACACCATACAGTGTGCTATGATGGAAATTTTGTCCGGGCAGCAGCAGCACTATGGCCTACTCTTATATCGAATTCCAACTGTCAAGGGATCTTTTACGCGCATGCCAATGTATACATGGGACCTTGGTTTTTTCATACCATCCGAACGACTAGACAGCTGTCCTTGTCAGCCATCCGTCCTGCCTTATTAAAAGGCTTGCCCTAAAGTAATGAATAACTTTATGCATTGATTACTCTGAGGACATAATAACTCGACAAAAACACAAAAGTTAAACACAGGAAAGCCAATTTTTTCTCTGATTTCTCCACATATGAATCATAGCTACTTACCTATATCATATTCCTGAACAATTCTCATATAACCATATTTAGGACTATAGCCGAAGAAGACATACATTATACCATCGACTATATGAGCTGTATGTCCCGACACGTTATACGGGGAGGACGTTAACTGGGTCCAGTTGGTATTAATGATATTATATACCCACATATCACTCATCACTCGTCCATTGACCACACCTCCATACATATATAACTTGTTGTCATGGAGATCGCTAGCATGAGCATAACGAGCAGGTGGTATCGATGGTCCCTGTTCTCGTACCTTGCTCCACTTTTTTTGTATAAAATTATACCTGAAGATAAAAAAAATAATTATGAGTTGCCAAACAACAAAACAAGTATGGCTGTACTTTGAACTAGGAACCAGCCATCTTGGAATTATGATGTCATAGAGAGAAAGAGAAATGGGGTTTAAAGTCCACTCAACACAAACCAGGTCATTTAGGGACCAACACATGGTTTGACTTTATTTCCACAATTCGCCCACGCGCAGGGGTCTTTAGCGGTGGGAGGGCCTGGAGAAAACCCACGAGGTTGCACAGACGACCCTACTCCTTGTCAGGTACAACCTGGGAATCGAAACCACGCCAGTTGGCTCAATCACAGACCTTATGATACAACGCACAAATGCTAACCATTCGGTCATCCACCCCCTCCCCCCACCATAAGTCATCTTGGAACTGTGATGTTATATCATAAATTGATGCACAATTATCCTAAGAAAACATCTGTTATTGTTTGAGTCTTCAGCCTAGCACAGACAATGGAACATTTATGTTGACGAACAAAAACACTGAACAAATATTTTTGTATTTGTTGTCCGCAGACAATGAACCTGGTGACACAGACGGATGAATGTCTTAGGTCGAACAATAAGTCTAGCGCCACATCAAAAAAATCACTCCAGACAATGAACATGGTCCTGCAGACGAACGAATATTTTAGTTCGAACAATACAGTACCGCCCAATGTCGTATGTTAACATACGTCGTTGCTACCGCCACATCAAATCATGCAGACAACAGAGTTCCAAATATCTAACACGTTCGATTTCACGAACCGCAGAAGGCAAACAAATCAATCGGAACAATGTTTTCATGAACGTTCATCTAAAAAGTTCCATCGTGTGCATTCAGCTTTAGGTTAAAAAATATGTCAACAGACACTATTTTGTGCGGATAGCAATAATAACTATTCCCAAGATTTTACAACAAAAAAGCTTAAGTCTGGAAGGCATCCTTAATCATGATTTAACTGACATACCTGTGAATATTTCTGGTACTGAATGGAGTTAGCGTATATCCACCGACAACCCACATCAAATCATTCTCTGGTATAGCCACATGGGACGCTCGTCCACCTGGAGACAATTCCGTATTTACAATCTCCCATAGACCCTCACTCTCACTTATACTGCAATCATCACCTATAATAAAATATGAAATAGAAATGAAATGGGGTTTAACGTCCTACTATTCTGCTCCGACTGGGCTAATGAAGATGGGGATACGCCATACGGTGTGCTATGAGGGGAATTTTGCCCGAGCAGCGGCACTATGGTCTACTCTTATATCGAATTCCAACTGCCAAGGGATCTTTTTCGTGCACGCCAATTATTCCTCGGGACTTCGGTTTCTGTCCCATCTGAACGACAAGACAGCTGTCCATGTGAGGCTCTCCGTCCTGCACCACTGACAAGGGGAAACCACGTCAGACAATCCTGATAAACTTTCTCGGCCAATGCAGGGATCAAATACTTTGGATCCATTCAACTACTGATATCTATTTCATGTCTATAATGAAGGTGATTATACATAATAGAATTAGCTATTTGTGAAATTTGTTAACTGGTATTTTTAACAATATGTGTCACCTATATATTTGCTGTTTTATTCCACAACAAACGGTATAGAATGAGGGATAGATGTCAAGACTATTAATAAATTTATTTAAATGTAGCTATATATGTAGAATATAGAAATAAACACTTCATAGAAATTCTTTCTCATCTATTCGTTATCAGACATCAGATTTGACGAATATTTTTCATAAAAGTAAATGAAACACTGGGGTAAACGTCCTACTTTTATCATTCATTCGGGATACTGAAGATAGGCATATTTCATGAGTGAAATTTTTTGCCTGAACTGCAGCACTACTGTTTCTCTTATTTCAAATTATGGACGCTAACTTGTACAAGGAGAAACCACACCAACAAATCCCAAGAAACTTTCTCGTTCATAACCGTTATCGAACCCCAGACCCCATAGTTAGTCAACCAGCACATGTCCACAGATATTTGTTTTTAAAATCCATATTGTTACCTCAGTTCATAAAGAATTAATAAATTTATATGAATAATAAACATGAATACTGATAACAGTATGTATATATCAGAATCTATTTAAACATTACCAACTCTTGATGGCATCAGATTTCTTCTATTTTAAATAGATTAGAACAGTTCAGCCATATTTTGATTTAAGCTAAATATGGAGGAGCTAGACTTAGCTTCGATCAACCAGTACGGTGGTTGAAATTATTGGCCACGTCTTGTCAAACCTTCAAAGGCTAATATCTTCACTCGCAATAGAGTAATCTGAATGCAATTTTCAAATTATCCATTTTACATTATCTATATTCGAACTATTATAGCAAGAATGGCCAGCTCTAAATCTTACATAATGTATCTTTAATAATGTGTTGTTTAGTGTAATTTATATGAAAGATTTATAAGTCTGTAGTAATTAGTGTGTGAATCAATATATCTGTTTGATGAATAATGTAATAATAATTAATATTGATATTTCAACAGGTAGTAGTAGTGTTAGATTGACATACATCTGTTGTACTGGTTAATTAAATATTGATATTAATTGTATAGCGACAGATAACATCCAATAGACATGATAATATACCAGAAACAATATAGTTCCACTATAATCATTTATTAATCTTACAAATACACTGGCTATAAAACAATGTACCAGAAACAATATAGTTCTACTATATCAGAGTATCATTTATCAATCTTACAAAAACATTGGCTATAAAACAATATACATATAGTACGTTTTCACCTTATCAGAAAAAACTTATTAGATTTTAAAAGATTAATTTATCAGAATTTAATTTATTTATTTTTACTTATAATCCTACTGACTCTAAAATCTTAATCAATACACCAACATTTTTACTTATTCGTCAGCAGATTTCTAAATTTGAATTCCACAGATACATAAATAAAATGGAAAGTGTGTATAAAATAATTTTATGGATATTGCAGAAGCCAGACTATGACAAGTTTTTTGTGCTAATATTTTGGAAACAAACATGAGCGTATTATAGACTTGGATTAGATTATGACGTCATCGCAGCTATCTTGTAATCGTGATATTATATCAAAAATTAACATCCTTTACTCAGTGCGCAATTGCCCAAGGAACAAGCATGTCTGTCATACTTGAATTGGCAGAATAGGCTGTTTTTGGAAGAGCAGCACCACAAATAACAAGAACAATATGAGTAGAACTTGTTGACCAGTTCCTGATCCAAAAAGATATAGTAACCAGGGGCCGGTTTCACGAAATTTTAACTAAGATAAAATCCAAATTTTAGTAATTTGATTGGATAATATTAGATTGATTTTAGTGCTTAGCCAATCAAAATTGAAGTATCTACTAAAATTTGGATTTTATCTTTAGTTAAAATTTCGTGAAACAGGGCCCAGATTTATTGATTTAGGAATTATAATGATCAGGACTATGTTATAGTGACTGATTTACCTTTTATAATCAGACCAGACTCCAAAGGACTGGCATTTAGCTAAACTATAACTACTTAATCCCTAGGATATCAGTTAGCAATGAAGTATTGACTGGGTTTTCTCTTTAATCCTTTTCATAGATAAGCCTACCTTATTTTATACAATTAATTAGTTTATATACATGGTAACCAAAACTAGTATATAATATATATACCCCAGTCATCCACAATCTGATTAAAATACAGATCTATATTTCGTTTCGTTTTTTATACTTTCGATGGCCTACACTACATGAAGATCTGACAAGTTATAGCGATGAGTCACGTCAGGGGTCAAAAGACCGACTTATGACCCTATGATATCAGACATTTGATTAACCAATCAGCATTGATGTTACTAGTGATTACCCACAGTTCCGTGCAAAACACGCCTAAAGCTCGCCGTAACAGACCGGTTCATTGGCTTATCCCTGACACCATTCAGAACACGAGTTAAATAACAACTCTTCCAGATCCTAGTGTAGTAAAGACAAGTAAAACGAAATTTTGAACTATTTAAACGAAACGAAATAGGATCTGTGTTTTAACTAGATTGCAGTCATCCAGAATACGATATCACTTCTATTCTGGATATTAAATACTTCATATCAGTTAACTGTGTTCCTGTACTATTTTAGGAACCCCTGCTTACGTAAGGACTCTGACTAATAGCTTGCGAGTTACAGTGGGGCACCAGCAAAGAGAAACATCCTCAATACCATAAAAGAAAGAAATCAAAAATAAAACGATGAAAGTTTGCTACTGTACCTTTATACTGTGGTTTACACTTGCAGACGGCACCAATACAATCACCGTTAGATGAACAGTTGTTCGGACAGACAGTAGTTTCACATCCTTGACCCGTAAAACCCTCGTTACAGTTACAAATATTATTATCACATATTCCATGGTCGGAACATCCCAAAAAACAACCAGTTACGCTATTAAAAATATAACAATAACAACAATAACATATACATGTAATTATAATATATATCTAAACATTACACTCCAAGAAATGTATATATGTTTGTAACTCACTATCTATACATATGTCCACCATTGTTTGCTGTAAACATAAGATATAATTATTTTATATGTTTGGAGAGAACTTATATAGGCCCTTGCCTATTGTTCAATCCAATTCAGTTTATTGAATCAAATATTGTTTAAACTAACTATACTTGGTTTCTTACATTAATTAATAATCCCCACAAGCTACAAAAAAGCACTCTCGACATTTCAGGACTAATACATGTATATGTATATGGTTCAATTTTATTTTAATAATTGGATGTCTTTAGCAGTGAGAGGAAACCGGAGGTGTCACAGACAGGGGCCGATCCAGGATTTTCAGAAAGGGGGGGGGGGCGTGCTGCCCCTACTTGGGAGTGCGAATCCCGGCCCTCGATTGGCGGACTGACGGGCAACCAACCAAGTCACCAACCGACTCATTTCGGAGTAAATTACGATTTCCAACCTAAACTGACTGTTAATTCCTTTCCCACAAGAATATATAGTAAAAAATTGTTCGCCACCGCAAAAAATAGCGGGGGGGGGGGGGCTGCGCCAACCTGCTGGATCCACATCTGACAGAAAATACACTAAGTTGGACAGGCAAATCAAAACCACACCTCTTGACTCAATGACAGACCTAACGATCTAACACACACACACACATCAGTTTCACAGGCCAGACATTCTACTTTCACTTGTATTTATGTTTGGTTGATTCAACTGATGTGATTATTCTTGTTTACTACATCATAATCAGGCACAATATGTAATAGTATGGTATATTGTTTTTGTGTAAAATATAAATCTTCCACAGCTTAAATATATCTGGGGGTCATGGTGGCTAAGTGGGTAAGATGCTGGCACGCTAACCAGACCTGGTGGTCTGTCAGCTCTTTATCAACTCTCATTATTATGCCCCTTGAATTACTTTTATCCATAACACTTTATTTAAACAAGTGAGTAAATTAAAGTTTAATTTAAAATTATTAGAGAGAGAGAGAGAGAGAGAGAAAGAGAGAGAAAGAGAGAGAGAGAAATGGGGTTTAACATCCACTTGACACAAACTAGATCATTTCGGGACTAACATATGCATATGGTTCAATTTTATTTCAACAATTTGCTTGCGCGTACGGGTCTTTAGCAGTGGGAGGAAATCGGGGGACCCAGAGAAAACACACAAAGTTGGACAGGCGACACTACTCCTTGTCACGACTCACGTACAACCGGGAAATCGAAACCACGCCAGGTGACTCAATGCGAGACCTTATGATACAGCACGTACACACGAAGCATTCGGCCATCCAACCCCCCTTAAAATTATTAAACATCTTTGATCTAGATCTATTAGAATAAAGTGTTTAATTGTTTGATCCGATATGTTACTTCTATTAGTGATGGGACAAGCTCTATTAGATTAAATTTTTATTTCATAAGACAAATCTCAAATCAGTGTGTTTACTAATGTTAGTTTAAATTTTGGCTTACATTTTACATGTGTCTAAAGTGAAACACACAAAATCTTTTATATCGGCCTTTAAAATCTATAAACATAAAATTGTGAACGATGACAGTTTGCCATCTCACAAATCAATTCAACAAATAACACCCAACGAAACAGACAATTTTATTTATGATGTTGAGCTAATTTAATGACGACATGAACACTGCTGTCTATAAATAGGATACCTGGTGTGGCCTTGTCCGCCTTGAGCCCATTATGTTTTGCTTAATAAAGGGAAGAAATTCCAATTAATCCAATCTATGGCCATAGGCCACAAATAGCAAGATTGCAAAATCATATTCTAATATTCTGGCGCAATGCCTCCAAACCACCCATGCACTCAAAAGAACTATAAACAAGTGGGTAGCGCAATAAAGGATGTAATAAAATACCAGATAAAGTAATATCATAAATAATATTATAACCCCCTATATTTTGAAAAAAGTTATGACAAATAACAGAAATGACATTAGAACAAGTGGGGTGAGGATGTGGGGTGGGGATGGGGGTTGCATCATAACAGAAATGGCATATGAACAAGAGGGGTAGAGATGGGGGTTGCCTTATAACAGAAATGACATATGAACAAGTAGATTGGGGATGGGGATTGCCTCATAACAGAAATAACATTTGAACAAGTGGGGATGGGGATTGTCTCTAAACCCTCCCATGTGATGCACGGAAAGGTCTAGAAAAGCCAAGACAAGTGGGTGTAGTTGGGGAGAATAAGACGTAATTAAATAAGGATGTAATAAACAATAAAGATGTCAGATGAAGTATTATTTATAATAACTTGAGATAAGGTTACATATTTATAGATAGGATAAAATAATCTACTTATAATATTAAGTCATAAAATCTTTACACTAGCAATATATCAATTATTTTATCTAAAGGAGTTAAACCTAGATCATTTCTTTAAACTAAAGGACAATATTGGTGCCAGTCATTATCACATATGTGATAGAGCTGGTTAAACACAGTCCAAATATAATTTTAACACAGAGATCATTGCTACGATAGCCGAGTAATACAGGTTTCCTGAATCGGAAGTGACGAACGCCAAAGGAAAACATGAGTCATCTCTCTATATAACTGAGTGACGAGTGATAACGGATATATAACAGATATACCGGCGAATTTCTGCTCAATAATAATTCCTTCCTTGACATACATGTACCTTGTGACCTAAAGATATTCCCCTCTCCCCCAATATCACTGCTATTTTGATCTCCCCCAATGTACTTGATAAAATGTATATTAATTTGCGCTCTCTCTCTCTCTGTCTCTCTCTCTCTCTCTCTCTCTCTCTCTCTCTCACATATATATATATATATATATATATATAGATTTGGTGGGGTTTTAGTTTTTTTACTTAACTACTGGCTATATTCGCAAAAATAAAAATATTTACAGAATATTAGCCAATGAAAAAGCTATGTTCAAAAAATATTTTATAATTCAAATTTTCTTGGATAAGTCCCCAGCTATGTAAAGATATGAAAATATGACAATTCATCATCATCAAGCAATATAAAACACATTTTTTTTTTAATATAAAATTAACCAACCTGTATGAGATATTAAAACCTGCCATGGTGTAGGCAGCATCACTAGAAAAATGTATATACATATGTCTACTGGATACACTGGCAGCAAACCCAACATCAGAATTATTGTTTCTGGTTAAAATTAAACCACTGTAAATATATACAAATATAAAATTTAATATTAAACTAATGAAAATATACAAATATCAAATTTAATATCAAACTAATGAAAATAAACAAATATTAAACCACTAAAAACATACAAATATCAAATTTAATATCAAACTAATGAAAATAAACAAATATTAAACCACTAAAAATATACAAATATCAAATTTAATATTAAACTAATGAAAATATACAAATATTAAACTTATGAAAATATACAATGTACAAATATTAAATTTAAAATACAAACCACTAAATATATACAAATATTAAATTCAATAACAGGCCTACATTATATTACAGAATATTTGTCAATATGACACACAGACAGGGCTGCTGACAACCAGTATCGCAGTGCAAATTGCGATACATATTTTGTCCGTTGCTCTGTCATTTTGGATATTGACACGAAGATTTATCCACATTTCTCAACACTTTCAAAGTGTATAAAATATCAAATAAATTTTATAAACAAAACTGAATTCTCCATGTGACATTTTCTTCTCGAACTACCCAGACTCAATTCATTATACTATATATAATACAGGGACATAACTCTATGAATTGTGACTATTAAACCGGAAATAAGGAATCAAGTAGTAACACTCATGTTGCGAGACATGTCAATTTCGAGTAATTATATCAGTATTCAATTTGAAAAAAAATAAATTCAATGTATCCCCCACGTACCGTATTGTAAATAAAATATAAAAAATAAATATGTGTAAAAGTATTGTAAAATGAGAAATCAAAGTAAGAATTCCCGTAAAATATTATTGTTTATATCGCGTGCGTCTAGTTAATCGAGATTACTTGTAAAATACTGTGTGCGTCCAATTGAACAAAAATAGTAACACACAATAAAAAAAAAAAGCAGACGAAATTGTTTTCTAACGAAGAAATAAGAATATGAGTGGGACTTCGGAAGCAACTGCCACGAATTGGCTTCAGACATAAGGCCTAACCAAAAGTCTACATTCAGAAATGTTCACAGCTACCTGAAGCAGTGCTAAAATTCTAAAAAAAATCGTAATAATAAAATCTAATCATTTGTTATAAATTAAAATTAAAATAATCTTGTTATTTAGGTGTTTTATGTTGAAACAGAACCAGCGGCTGCCAGCAGGATACGCCCACATTTTCGAGAGATGGATAGAGAACAAGCTAACAAGAAAGTGATTTTTCCTACAATCAAGGGCCATAATTCAGGAAATTACAATTCGATATGCGCGAATATCGAAAGGAGCTGATCATGAGATCTTTGTGTTATAAACTTACATTTCAAGTTTCAACAAAATCGGATAAAAATTGTGACCTCTATAGGGTCCACAACCTTGATATACCATATTTTTACGCTATTTAAGAATGAAGGGCGGCCATTTTGTCTGTCAGTTTTGGGCCGATTTTCACAAAATTCGAACTCAGTCGTTATTAAGGTGTAACGGTGATTTAATAATACGTTTTTTTAAATCTGATAAAAATTATGACCTCTATAGGGTCCACAAGCTAAAAACGCGATTTTTCGGACGATCAGGGGCCATAATTCAGGAAGTTACGTTCTGATATGCGCGAATGTCGAAAGGAACCGAGATCTTTGGGTTATAAGCATACATTTCAAGTTTAAACCAAATCGGATAAAAATTGTGACCTCTACAGTGTTCACAAGCTAAAAATGTGATTTTTCGTACAATCAGGGGCCATAATCCATGAAGTTACAGTCCGATACATGCCAATATCGAAAGGAACCGAGATTTTAGGGTGATAAACCTATGTTTCAAGTTCCGTTGAATTCGGATAAAAATTGTGACCTGTAGACTGTTCACAAACAATTGTGGACGGACGGACGGACGGACAGGGGCGACGACAATATACGTCCACATGAAAATGTGGGCGTATAAAAACTGATAATCAATTTTTAAATTTGCTAATCAAATTTGGCAAAATTGGACTTTTTGATTAGCAGTGCTGCTAATCATCTGTGAAAAATTACCGACAGCCCTGCACACAGAGAACAAACTTTATTTAATGTTCAGTGCACGCAGTATGTAAACCGACCGAGGGACAAGAATATTTCACTGCATACTCAGTCTCCAGGACATCAAAAACTTTTCATCGGTGCAAAAGTAATTTTTTTATATTTTTCAATTAAAGGGGCATTGGTTTTTGGAGATCTTCTGCCCCGCCCCTGTTTCAAGGAATTTTAACAAATTAATGCTTGCATATACATGTCTTAGTCCCAGTTCTAGGATATCAAAAACTTAGTCTAATATTACTTTAAATAAGCTTACTATTGTTAATGATATTGTTCAAAATTAACTACAATTCTTTTCAAGGTGACAGTGGATGGCTGAATTCAAATACAAATAAATTATTCCAACTTAGTTTAAAGGCACATAAGGCACCTGTCACAGACTTTGTCAGACACAATGTATACTTTATACAATGTACATGTAATATAAAAATTGTGTGATAATTTGTGCCTGACAAACTGTTTGACAGATGTCAAAGCTTGTATATGTACATTGTGTACAGCTGCCTTATGACCATGCTTGTATATGTACGTCTTGTACAGCTGCCTTATGACCATGCTTGTATATATACACGTTGTGTACAGCTGCCTTGTTGTTGTTCTTAGCGTTTAACGTCCGCTTCCACCGAAGGTGATATCGCAGACAAGTTCATTTTAATGATCTTAGCGCACGCGCAGGGGTCTTTGCTGTGGGAGGAAACCGGAGTACCCGGAGTAAACCCACGAGGTTGAGAAGGCGCCCCTATCTCCAAGCCACATACGCTCACACCTGGGATCGAAACCACAGCCGCAAGCCAGAGGTGACCGGCCAACTAGAGGTCGAAGCGTGACACTCTAGACCACTAGGCCATCCCAACCCCCCTTACAGCTGCCTTATGTTCAGGCTTGTATATGTACATGTACGTTGTGTACAGCTGCCTTATGTTCAGGCTTGTATATGTATATGTACATTGTGTGATAATTTGTACCAGATAAAGTCTGTGACAGCAGTTTTATGTCCAGACTTGTCTTAAAGGTATAAGTTGTTTCAAAACATAACCTCAAAGTAAAAAATAAAACCAAATTACCTGAAAGCAGCAAGAACTGGGGAGAAACTCGAGTCCCCATCGTGGATGTAAAGATGATCCCAGCCACACTCAGTTGCAAACTCGTAAAATTTAAACCACACTGTCTGATTGGCTTCTGGTATATCTATCAACCAACTACATTTTGTAGCCAGCGAATAATTTCCTTGGCCATCAGTTATGAAACCTTCATCTTTAGATAACCTATAAAATAATTTATATTAAAATTAATCATTTTGTAATGAAAACGTGGTGACAATTTTCAAGGGGTAGAACTTAGCCCTCAGAGCTGCATGTCCACCTACTATTCCAACCGCCAAGGTTTCATTTACGTGTACAGTACCCATGTGTACATGGTAGGGTGACCCACCATAAATAAATATCTCCATATATCTCGACAATTTCGCCACAATATTTATATATATGCCAAGCCTCAAATCAGTTTCACACAATTATAGTCACTAAATAAACGATCATGTTGTACTTAATAAGCTATGACCATTAATCATCTATAAATAATAGACTGAAAACTGGTTCCATGTGTCGTCCATAACATCCAGACACTTTTGAGTAAAATCAGTTTCACACAATTATAGTCACTAAATAAATGATCATGTTGTACTTAATAAGCTATGACCATTAATCATCTATAAATAATAGACTGAAAACTGGTTCCATGTGTCGTCCATAACATCCAGACACTTTTGAGTAAAAGATAGGTTACGTGCCCTTGTTTTGAAATTAGTCTCGCTTAACCAGTCTATCGACCATTCTAGGGCTGATTGACAGGTCGGGATAATCAAGACTACTTTTTTACGAAACATAACAGAAAGCTAGAACAAGAAATTGAATTTAGAAATGAGCACGTTAGCTAGCTCAACAATTGTTTTAAGAAGCTTGTAAAAGTAAAATGAAACTACTGCTAGTATCGTGTTCCTGTCTAACCCGAGTGTTTCTGAGATATTATTTGTACTAAACCAAAAGATGCCGCTCTTAACGGTACAGTTAATGATAAAGCGATTTAAAAAATGAAACGAACGTAATTTCTAAATCTGCTGTAATAACCAAGAAGCTTAATTTTACTGCTATTCAAAATCGTCAACAATAATTTTTTTACGGCTGTAATAGTTGATAGATTTGTAGAGAATTGCACGTGCCATGGCTATTTATAGTATCATACTGTCAGAAAGTTGGCCTTGACACGGCGAATGTGCACGCTTCAGTGGTAGTTTCGAACTATCAGCGGTTGACAGTATTTCTGTAGGTGCGTGGGTCACCCTATACATGGATGGATGTCAATTTTTTGTCCCATCCGAACAACTTGAAACATTTTCGATTATAGCCTAGAAAATGCCACCCCTGAGACGTGAGAATCATAAGATTTTTCTGGACCTAACCCTTGAATTTCTAGCTGAGATGCCAGTTCCCTACCACCGCAGCCCCGAAAAAGTGCTGTGGAGAATAGACCTTCGAATAGCTACCTCGATTATTTGGGATTTTGGATCCACATGCGTCCCTAAGATAATTTCAAATTAGCCAAAAGAGAACCTTCCAGCATTTTGATGACAATTTTTTATTTCAAATAAACAATCCAAATATCTGAACATTTTCAAATTATGTTTATGGACCTATTTGAAAACGGTTCAAGGACAATATTGGTGCCAGTCATTATCACATATGTGATAGTGGTGGTTAAACACGTTCTAAATATACTTTTAACACGGAGATCATTGCTACGATAGCTGAGTAATACAGGTTTCCTGAATCGGAAGTGACGAACGCCAAAAGAAAACACAAGTCATGCCTCTATATAACTGACTGATGTGACGAGTGATAACAGATACATGGGCGAATTTCTGCTCACTAATAATTCCTTCCCAGACCAAAAGTTGTTGTACATTCCCTTGTTTATATTCATTCTATACCTTATAAAAACATGGTAATGCACAGACTTTTTCTGGGGTTTTTCGTGTTCTCTTATCTAGTGGCAGTCAATTCTTTTTATGAATTGTCAGATATCCTCTCACAGTCTAACACAACAACTTTTGGTCTTGGAAGGAATTATTAGTGAGCAGAAATTTGCCCATGTATCTGTTATCACTCGTCACATCAGTCAGTTATATAGAGATATGACTCGTGTTTTCCGTTGGCGTTCATCACTTCCGATTCAGGAAACCTGTATTACTCAGCTATCGTAGCAATGATCTCCGTATTAAAATTATATTTGGAACATGTTTAATTAGTTCTATCACGTATGTGATAATGACTGACCCCAATATTGTCCTTTAAATTACACGATAATAGTATTACCCGAGTGTTTGTCTAGTGTTTTGTTATAATGCATGCAGATGCAGGAGGAAAGATTCAGAAGAATCTATACTAGTCATAATTTTATTATTAATCTTTTTTTCAACAGGTCTATAAACATAATTTTGCCTTTAATATCACTGCATTGAAGCCCTTGCTGTATAATGTTCCTGAAGCAACGACTGTGAGTTTTACAACATCTAGACGTTGCTAAATTGCGTTACAATTCCCAAACTTATAGCTACGTTATCTCCATTTACTGCACACAGGTGAACAGTAGCGTCCAATCAGAGGTTGCGACACAAACACCCTCAAATCAAATATAGCGACCTCCACGAAAACCTCGACATTGAACGAACCTTGAACTTTGCAACTCGATGATCACAGGCAGACATTTTAGCTGGAAAGCGCTTGACTTGGTATTCGCGATGATCAAGGAATCTGATAGACTCTCAAGCTGGGTAAATACCCAATTGAAATTAGTGCCGAAATATCCAAGGTAGTTAATACGAGATATTGCCTTCTATCGAAGGTGTATAGGCTATAGTTTTGTTATATTAAAATACAGACATATTACAGATATGTCATTGCTTGAAAAAGATGAGAGTACCCTCATTGAAACAGAGAGAGAAAGAGAGAGAGAGAAATGGGGTTTAACGTCCACTCGACACAATCTAGGTCATTTCGGGACTAACACATGATTCAATTTTATTTCAATAATTTGCTTGCGTTTCGGGGTCTTTAGCAGTGGGAGGAAACCGGAGGACCCGGAGAAAACCCACGAGGTTGGACAGGCGACCCTACTCCTTGTGACATACAACCGGGGAATCGAAACCATGCCAGGTGACTCAATGACAGACCTCATGATACAGCACCCAAGTGCTAACCATCCAACCCCGCTCTCATTGAAACGTTGTGGTTAATAAACCTAGTGAAAATTATCCATAAAGCTATCTGTTATTATATTATCACTTCCACTAAATACCCTTTATACATATAATACTACATGTAAATGTGTATAAAATTAAAGAATCCCCGCTCAACAGAATACACAACAGACTTGTAGAAGTAGAAGATTGTTTAATGGGTCGACGTTTCAGGTGCAATACCCTTTATGTATATCTGTAATGTCTGCATTATAACAAAACACCACAAAGGCTTAAATGCAATGTTATTGAATTGAATGCCATATGAAAACATCTGCCCTATACGGAGTGAAATCTGAACTGGAGAGAATCAGATTATAGTGTTGTTATAGATGATATAAATGTAACAGTTTGAATAATAAAGGAGGACACAACATCCTGCTTGTGTTTTTATTAAGAAATGTGTAATTGTATCCCTGTTTGTGATATATAGATTAAATAACCTGTTCGCCCTTTTTAACGTCACGACAATTAACAGAAGTGATAACCTTAAAGTTATTGATTTGGGTTAATATGGATTTTATATGTTGACTTTTCGGTGACATATTTTACGTCACTGAGATATCACCGATTTTATCTTCTTCTGTTGACACAGTAAGGCAAAAATTAAATTTAGAAAATGAGCGACTTTGAAATAGAAAATGAACTGGGGTTTAATGTTCTACTGTTTTGCTCCAAACTGGGCTATTGAAGACGGGCAGCGGCACTACGGCCTACTCTTACATCGAATTCCAACTGTCAAGGGATCTTTTACGTGCACGCCAATGTGTACATCTCATCCGAATGACTAGACAGCTAGTGCTACCCTTGCAAGCCCCCCCCCCCCCCCGTCCTGCCTTTGAAATAGAAATTTAATATCTAGTATAAATACAAGTTTAGAAATGAAATGGTGTTTAATAATAATATCCTACTATTCTGCTTGTATAAGCATATAGAGTTTGACAGTTTGTCCCATCACTCATTAAACTAACACATCAGCTTGTCTCAAACAAATAAAACAGGTTTACATGTAGATCCTTTAAAAGCATGTTTGCTACTACATGTAAACTGCTTGAAACATTATATACATCCTGTAAGACCTGTAGATCTACATGTAAGAAATACACTTTTACTTTGGTAATTAAAGTCTAGTGGTGTTATCCCTTGATAACTACAATATTGTAAAAGTTTAATCTCTAAAAGAAGAGAGAGAGATAGAGAGAAATGGGGTTTAATGTCCACTCGACATAAACTAGGTCATTTTGGGACTAACATATGGTTCAATTTTATTTCAATAATTTGCTTGCGTTTAGGGGTCTTTAGCAGTGGGAGGAAATCCATGAGGCTGGACAGACGACCTTACTCCTTGTCACGTACAACCGTGGCATCGAAAACATGCCAGTTAACTCAATGACAGACCTTATTACACAACGGGCACATGCTAACCATCCGCCATCCAACCCCATCCCCAACTAATAGGAATATCAGACCCAAATGGTTCAATCTGTTCAGTATTTACAAAGACATAATGAATTGAAATTTCATCGATTTATGGATCGCTGTCTTTTTGTTGTGGGCGAACCGAATTGATGGGTTTATTTTAAAGGACAATATTAGTGCCAGTCATTATCACATATGTGATAGAGCTGGTTAAACACATTCCAAATATAATTTTAACACAGAGATCATTGCTACGATAGCTGAGTAATACAGGTTTCCTGAATCGGCAGTGACGAACGCCAAAGGAAAACACGAGTAATCCCTCTATATAACTGACTGATGTGACGAGTGATAACAGTTACACAGCCGAATTTCTGCTCACTAATAATTCCTTTCAAGACCAAAAGTTGCTATATGGGACTGTAAGAGGATACCTGACAATTCAATAAAGTAATTGAATGTCATTAGATAAGAGAACACGAGAAAAATAGAAATAGTCCGTACATTCCCTTGTTTATATTCATTCTATACCATATAAAAACATGGTAATGC